TGATTGATTTGCTCCATAAGTGAAAAACTGATGTTTAAAATTGCCATTTTTACATTGACTCCAATTGTTCACATTAGAGCAAAATTCAAAATGCTGTCAAAAATTCAGTTTTTGAGATAAAATTCTGAAATTTGCCAGACATCATCTACCATGACTCTAGAATTTTGTCATTTTTTTCATGAACATTGAAGATTTATTTAGCAAGAATTTGCACGTATATGTTTACAGTACCGTTTACAGTCAAACATTTTGATGCACTGTAGGCTCAATTTTTGATAAATCAAAAATCTGAGAAATGTAGTTTTTGTAGGACTGTCTGAAGATGCTTTTTTACAGTTTTTGAAAAAAACAGTGATGAACTTCATAATTTTTAATAGGTTTAAATGTACAAAAGTTTCTTCAGTATTGGGGCTACAGTTTGATGAAAGTTGTGAAGATGTAGCACGTATGGTTGATTTGTTATGAATTTTCAAAGTTTTGAACTTTAGACACTTGCTGTAGCGCCACCAACAGGACTATTGGCTTGAGTTTACAGCTGAGGATATCTGGCATGAGACTGGACCTTTGTGCAAAGTTTGGTGAGTTTTCACCCATGGGAAGTATGATTTCCTCGGAAGAACAAAGAAGAAAGAAGAAGAATACCTAGGATTACCCTAATAATTAGTCAAATACTTATCATAAACATGTTGACAGGTAAATACAAAACATTCCCTGTACATACATGTATTCTCAGTGTTGGGTGTGACCTCCATGACATCTTGCTCTGGTAGGATCAGTTCACAGATTATTTATGGCTTGCACCCCATGCACCCCACTTTTTTCGCATGTAAAGGAGAGCATGGCTTGAAAAATGTTTTATCAACAGCAAAGATGTAATTTTTGCATCAAATGGATGACTGGCGCCATTGCTAAAATATAAGTTACCCTTTGTCTGTGTTTTCTGTTAATGTAAACCAGCAAGTTCCTTTTCTTTAATTGAATGTCGCAGTGTCTGAAGCCACCCTGACTTGCTGATGGAAACATAATCTTAGTGTTAATGACTGTGCTCCTGACGATGGAGGTAATTCTGCTGGAGATAAAGGTGATAAAGCTGGGGAGGGAGTTGTTCCTGCTGTAGATGGAGGTGGAGGGTGTGCTTCTTAGGTTTGGAAGTGGGGCTGCCTGGGATAAAGGTGCATCTGCTGGGGATGGAGGTGGTCCTGATGGAGGTGGAGGTGCTTCTGCTGGTGATGGAAGTGGAGGTTGTGCTGATAGAGGTGGTGGTTGTGGTGCTGCTAGGGCAGTGATTGGAGGCTATCCAGTTGACATGGTTTTTTTGTTTGTTTGTTTTTTACAAGTTATTGATTGTTTAAGGAAGGCAGCCCTTCTGATTAATGATGCTGTTGTGCAGTAGCAGCAGTGCAAATGAGGGGTTGCTCTGCAGCTTTGACCATACTTGATGATGACAAAATCTGAAATGTAGAAAGAACACAATCGATCATTTTCCTTGTATACAGAACCGTCACCTTATTGTGGTGGAGGAGTTTGAGTGCCCTAATGACCCTAGGAGCTATGCTGTCAGGGGCATTTTGCCCCTGGTAGGGTTTCCCATGGCAGATTGGTTCTGGGCGAAGTGTCAGATGAAGAATGGTTCAAAAGACCCTTCATGATGGATAATAACAGGAGAGCGTGTACCCGGCCCGGAGGGTTACCGGGGCCCCGCCCTGGAGCCAGGCCTGGGGTTGGGGCCAAGCCCCAACCTCCGGGGGAGACGAGTGAGGCCAATGCGGAAGTGCCAAAACTGCAGCTCACTGACTGTCCACTTGAGGCTGGCTCCGGAATTGAGTTAATTCCCATAGACCCCCATGTTAAAATGCCCAACTTTAGAGCAGAAGTAAACATGTTTACAGCCTGGTACAAAAAATGGTTTTGGTCTCTATAGTTAATGTCCCCTTTCATGACAACTGTGGGGAGGGGGGGGGGGAATTTTTTTCTAACTCTTCCGTTTAAATGTTATTAAGGTTTGAAATTGCGCATAATTAAGGGCGTGGTCACTTTGAGTGACAGGTGGCACCATCATGGGTGGCTAACTAGCATGCTAACTAGCCGCGTGCTCCGCTGTGCAGAGCTGAGCTCTGACTCAGCCGTCTACTTGGCGTCATCTCAGCCAATTCATGCCCATGTTCAAGGCATTGAACCTGTCCTCTCAGCCATGTTTGTGCCTATTTTTTCAGGCAAATATTGGAGTAATATGGCTTGCTGTTCGATTAATTATACCAACAGACCGTCCAAGAAGTCTGTGCTCGTTAACTAGCTAACCAGCCAGCTAACAGTTAGCCTTTGAGCAAGACGCCAGTCCGGGGATGCATCGAAGTCAGAGCCTGACAGAGTATGGAGCTATAGTTGTGTCTTTATTACATGCGAGAAAATAAATGATATGAGAGGGGAAAAAAATGTTTGAGAGAAAAAAAATATTTGAGAGAAAAAGTTTTCACACTGATAGCAAAAAATAATAATATTTGAGACTAAAAAAAGTTTTGAGAGAAAGTATTTTGTCATAGAATATAAAAAAAAATAATCTGAGATTTAAAAAATGATTTCTGAGAAAAAAACTCTCTCAAAAAACTTTTTTTTTTTTTAAGTCTTTGCTCTCGTGTCAGGATTTTGCGCTCACTGTGAAAATAATGTCATGGGCGGGGCCACGTTCCTATTGGCCAGTCTCAATCGAATTGACAGCTGGGTGAGGATCGTCTTGGGAGTTGAATTCAACTGAATCATTCATCCACCATGGTGGATTCACCGGCACAGGTACGCTGCGTTATTTGGGAGCGGAGACTCCAATGTTTGGGTAAGATGGTGACACACAATTGATGGGTAGCTAGCTGAGCAAGTTGGTTATCAAAATCATTCCTATAATGAATCCCTTTTCTCACCTAACGTCATTTTACCGAGATTGTGTTATTAACTGCACTAGCCAGCTAGTGTTAACTTTACATCTAGCTAGGTTATCCCATTAACGTTACTTTACTACGGTGCTTTTCTCTTCCAACATTCCATGTGTGGCTGGGTGAGCGCTGCTACACCTCCGCCCTTAACTGGCATCAGCTGGGTCTAATTTCCAGTTGTCGGAGCCTAATTGTGCAGTGGTGGCACCTGCGTTATTTGGTCTCGTCTTCCCCTCACGGGCGCGCTCACTTGTACCTGGCGTTTACCTGGCGAGGGCTGTGTGTGGCGTGCTTTGTGTGTGTCGTGCTCCGGTTTCTGTACCCAAACTTGGGACTCATAAGGTAGGCATGGGTGCTGCAATGTTTGTGTACTGTTAAAGCGTATTATGGTGTCACAGCTGCCGTGACTCTTCGCTTTACAGCGGCGTCGGCCGTTCCTGTCGTGTGTAGCTTCGGAGGGGACTTTGAAAAGCGTGGTGTCTGCTCTTCCTCACTGTGAGACGGTGACTGGGTTTGAGCTGTGCGCTGTGCGTTAAGCTCCCTTCGCTCCGGTAAGCTCGCTCTGTTTTTTTATTTCTACTTCTGCTAGTTGTGTTAACTTTATGTTAACAGGTTGTCCTGCTCTCTGTCCTGCTGTAGCCGAGGCCACAGCTTGTGGCTTCTTCTCCTCCTCTGCGCACTGTGTGGGGCTGCACTCCGCAGCCCGGTGACGTGGGCCGCCAGCTGGGCATCCCGAAGGCCTCCAGCCCCGGTGCGGCTGCTCCGTTTTCCACTGCTGTTCTGCCAGTTTTCCACAGACTGATTAAAGCACACTGTAATGCAGCTGTGCATTGATGCAGCTTTGGACCTCCATCCCACCACGACTTCATTTTGGTTTGATTAATTTCTTTTGTCTCTTAATTAATTCATTTAATTCAGTTAACTAATTTCTTGGGTTATTTGGTGTTATTTTCTTTCATTTGTTTATTTGGTTAGGTTATTTGTGATATTCTTTTGATTTTGGTTTAATACTCAGCTGTTGGGTCATCTGTTAGTGGGCTTACTTATACTCCTGGTCCCCGCCCACAGCTGAGTTTTGGCGTTAAGTTTGTTTGTTTTCTGCATTAATATATTGTTGCATTAGTTTCATACTATTTAGTTTGTTATCCAATTAATTAGGTTAATTCCTTATGTGTGTGTGTGTGTGTGTGTGTGTGTGTGTGGGTGGGTGGGTGCGTGTTTGTAGTAGTTTTTAGAAATTATCTGGACTGTATACATTGGCCTGAGTGCCCACCATTTTGTTAATGTTCTTTCTTTCTTTTCAGGACAGGAGCTTTTGCAAACAGCGGCAGTCTTCCCTGGTGGTGGTGTCCCCCCTCACTCCCTTTAATGTGGCGTGGCACATGGTGGTTTGGTTTGCAGTGAGTATTCTTTGGTTTGAGTTGTCCCTTTACTTTTATTTGAGTCTGTTCGCCCGAGCCAAGCAAGCCCTATTCCGGCCATTTATTTGTATATTTTTCCACCACAAGCAACAGTGGTATTTATTTTGCTACTCAGGCAGAATATTTTGTCCCCTTTGTGTTCTTTTAACTACCATAAACTTTTAACTAATAAAATTTGTTGTTAGATTTGGAAGTCCATCTCCTGTCCCCATATTTACCAGTGTACGAATCTGTGTGACCTTCTGTTGTTAAGAGTAGTCTACAGGTTTGAGTGTATTCCCTGGGGTGCAATTCCCCAGGTGGTGTTGTCGGTTCATTTCCCTCTCCTCTCCATTTGGCCACACAAGCTCCAAACCGGGCAGAGGAGATCCCCCACCATTCCCAAACCTCATTTTAACTAGAACCAGTTCCTGTTACAAGACGAACGGGGACTGGCACTGACACAAAATGTCCTGCTACCAGTAAGTACCAGGCACATGCTTGGAGACAAGCTGCTAAGTTGCCCAAAGGACTTGTTGGTTCCAGGTGTACAGCTGCAGTCAACATAGCTGGCATTAACTGCAACTGCCTCTTGGATACTGAGTCCCAGGTCACGACTGTTAAGGTGTCATTTTACAACCAGCATCTCTCTGATCAACCAGTCAAGCCTCTTGATAATCTTCTTGAAGCCGAAGGCGCAGCTGGGCAGTCTGTTCCATACCTGGGCTATATAGAAGTGGCTGTTAAGTTTCCCAAAGACTTTTTGGGTGATGTCACTGACATACCTACCCTTGCACTTGTCATGCCAGATGTGCACCCAGAATCCCCATCACCTGTTCTAATAGGAACCAGCATCCTCAATGTGCTGTATGAACAATACCTTGGCAGCCAAATTGTGAACCAGGAGCCCAATCTATATGGGTACAGGGCAGTGCTCAAAGCCCCTGAGTTACGCCACCGACAGAACAGAAAGGGGCGTATTGGAGTGGTGACAATGCTGGGCAGGACGCCAGCTCTCATTCCTGCAGGCTTCAGTGTGCTTCTGGAGGGCTCAGCCCAAGTCTGCCCTCCTGCTGTTGATTGTTGGGCCATTGTAGAACATCCCACCCAGTCTTCTTTACCTGGTGGTCATTGCGTTAAGAGTTGTCTCATTTCTCTACCTACTCATGCACCCTACAAAGTCCCTGTGGTGGTTGCAAACACATCAGAACAAGACATTTCCATTCCACCTCTTTGTGTTGTTGCAGAGCTTGGGAATTTTGACAGCATCCTTTCACAACACAGTGTGAAACCATCTACTGAAGCCCAGCATATGTCAGACTTGAGCTTCAGCTTTGGTGACTCTCCTCTGTCCCCTGAGTGGAAGGAGCACATCACCGAAAAGCTTTGTGCTATGTCTGAAGTCTTCTCGCACCATGACTTGGATTTCGGGTGCACAGACAAAGTGCAACAGGAGTAACAGGAGGCAGAAGTAAGGTTAGTGGCCTACCACACTGGCAGACCTGTGCTTGAAGTAGACTCTCCAAGTTCTTCTTTTCCACTAGCTCACCATCACAGTTTCAACACAGGAAAAAAACCTGGCCAATTCGGGAGTTCGGCTCATCTCTCTCCCTCTCTCTCTCTTTCTCTCTCTCTCTCTCTCTCTCTCTCTCTCTCTCTCTCTCTCTCTGTGGAAACATCTGTCCATCTGACGATGACGGCCCAGGTACTGCACAGGCATATACAAATAAATTACATTGTTGGGTTTTCTTCCATAACATGGTTATTCCATATTTTCTATTCTTAGAAAAAACACATCTTATGAATTGCACTTGATTTTGATCTGGGTTACATCCTCCCCCCTTAAATCCATGTACGGCCCTGAGCATGTAAAATTACACTGTGTAGATCTCTGGAGCAGAGAAGGGCTTAAGGCATCTGTATAAGCAGACGAAAGGCTTCGGTAAAGAGTTTACCTAGTTTACCTACCTAGATTACCTAATTGAGCATACTATAACCTATTTGGATGTTCTTGGGATCGTTGAGAGCATCAAATGAAGTGGCAACTTCAACTGGGTCAGTCTCAGGATTAGCAGCAGCCTTGGGAGGAAGTTCGTCTGCAATGGGTCGTTCAGGATCCTCAACTACTCCATCAGGTGAGTCTCCTTCTGGTAGGGTATTGTTAGGCAGATTTTCCTCCACAGGTCCAGGTAAGTTTTCCAATAGTTCCTCAGTAACCAGGTTTTCCTCCACAGGCCCAGATAAGTCTGACTTGTTCCTGTCCGGTGATTCAGGTGAGTTTCTTTTATCCAAGGGTTCAGTGGGGGATTCAGCAGAGAGGAAAAGTTGAGGCGTTTTTGCCAGGGAGCGGGTGATAGATTTCCAGCTTTGCTGTCAGCATCCACATTAGATTTAACCAGTGGAACTGGACATTGTGGAATCCAATCAAAGTCATCATCATCTTCTTTCTCATCATCATTCAGATCAGCAGAGCTGGACTCACTGATATGGTATTGACGTGTTTGGGGTCTACGGGCAGGGGGAGTCTCCTCCTGTACTGACGGAGGAAGGAACCCACAGGGATGAAGAAGGTCTTGATGTAAGGTGGGCTGGGGACCATCTTTAGTTTCTGGCTTCACCGTATAGACTGAGAGATCACCTGCCCGCTTAATGACAACAAAGTGTTTTTATGGTGGATTTATTTGATTTGATTTTCCTTGTTTTTAGGATTTTAATATAAATGTCATAATAATCTGTTTCCTATGTTAGGCTCTTTTGTTTCATTTTTATGAATGTATTGTGTTAGATAATTTATCATTATCATTGCTATTATTTATTATTATCATCATAATCATCATTGGGTGAAAGTCCTTGCTGGAGGTAATCACTTTCTCCTTCATTTTTTTTTTAA